GATTTTACTAAAAACTATATCTTACTTTAATCAAATAAATTATCTCAAGTATTAGAAGTAGTTCTATTATAAATTTGTCTTCTTTTACAACTAAATAGACATGAAATCTAAAAAAAGAAAAACAAATTCTTTATTAGGCAATTTATAGATCGACAAACAATCACAAGATAATAGATATTAACTTTATTAATTTTCAGATCTATAGAAGTAGAAATCCAGATAAAAAACTGGAAAGTCATATTAATAAAACAAGCTAATCAATAGAAAAATATATAGATGAACTTATAAATATTTTGAAAAACAATAAAAGAAGTATGGCTAACCAGTTTACTTTTTACACAAATGGCTCCTATAAAAAATAAACAAAAGATAGTAAACTTGAAATAGGTTTTGCTTGGGTTTTAATAAAAAATAACATAGTTGAAAATCAATTTTTAACAGGAGTATTAAACATGGCTATTGGCAATTAAGAAAGAAATATTGATTATTCTTACTATTCTATACATAGCTTCTCGAAACACAATAGTCACAATTTTCACTGATTATAATATTTCAGTTAAGATATAAAAGTCTATTTATTCATAAACAGAGATATCAACAAGAAGATGAACAAAAACCATCAACTGACCAATATAAAGTATGATTAAAGACCAGGTAAAAAAAAAAGATTTTATCTTGAAAATTACAAAGGTTAAGACTTATGAGACTAACAAGTTCAACAATCAAATAGATATAATTGTTAAACAAGCTAAATACAAGAATCTAATAATTTGTATTAACTATTAGAATTAGGGAAAGTCTTTACAATAGTCATATGAAGTAAATATACAATATTAAAGAATTTGTCAAAACATTTAATAGAAAAAGAATTAAGAAAGATTAAACAGTACAAAAAAGGATTTAAGAGCTGTGAATTCAAAATGATAAAATCATAAATTGACTAACCTTCTAAAATTAGTTCAATTTATCTAATATCTTTGATACCTTTTTTAAAACTAATAAAGATAAAAGTTTTCTAACTAACTTAATCTATAATAAACTTTCAATATTGTAGATACTCAAAAAAAAGAAATCAGATATTTATATTATAATAACTTGCCTAGTATGTAAACTTCAAGAAGAAATATTAGAACACCTTTTTGAATATCCAGCCATAAAAAAGCCAGAAAAGATATATGACAAAAAGTAAAAGAAAAAATTAATTACTACATAAATAAAGAAATAAAAAATAAGAAAGAAATTCCTATCACAACTGATAATTGAACAAGTAGAGGCTAAACAAGATCTAACAATCTAATAAAAATCTTTTTAATATTATTTATAGATATATAGAAAAAATAAAATCACCTCCTTAAAGAATTATCTCAAAGCATAATACAAAATTCTTCTAGTATTTATATAGAATATAATTAATAAGCTTTGTTACAAGATAAAAAAAAACTTCAAGAAAAATATTTGAAACAGTCACTGTACTAAAATAATAAAGTGAAAAAAGATATAGAATATTACTTAAGAGAATAAAAGATCTAAAAAACCTAAGTATAGATTTAATATATAGACTACACAAGAATAGAAAGAACTCTCAATGTCCTTAGAAGACCTAAAGCATAATGTTTTCAAAAGAAAAGAGAAAAAAAAGTATATAGAAATTATTAAAGATTGGATTTGTTATGAAGCTAAATAATTCAGTTTTTAACTATAAATAGAATTTAAAATGATTTATAGTAATTATCTGTAGGCAATGATTTTATTGATTAAAGAATTCATTCAAGCTAATAAAGAAGCCAATATCATTTTTTAAATTGTATTTGGAGAAATGGTTTTTTTGACAATAGGTGAATTAGTATGTAAAAGTCAAAATATCATATAAATATCTTTATATATACAATAAAGACATATTATTCTGATCTGATTATGGATTAAAAAAAAAAAAAAGTAAGACAAATAATAAAGAAAGTGAAAAAGTTGTCTTTTATTAATCAGGCATTCTATGTTATTTTTCTATAGTATAAGATAATAATACATTAATTCTTCTTCCTTTTAAAACTTACTTGCCATTGGTAAAAAAAATATTTCTTAGTTACTAGAGATTAAGTTTTTATTTAAAAAAGAATATTAACAAGTAGAAGAGAAATAAAGATGACTTTTGAAGTTTCCTTTAAATTGAATTAAAGAAAATATTAAAACTATATTAGTAGAGAAGTATAAAGACTTCTTGTAAATATTTTTTTTGTATATAATTAGAGAATTAGCAAAAAAAAAATATTTTATAATAATCAAATACTATATAAAAAAGATTATTTAAATATAATTATTAGTTTTTAAAAAAAGTATTAATAACTTAAAATTTATTTTTAGAATTTGACTATTTTTATAAGTTTAATTTTTTAATAAAAATTAAAATATTTATATTTTTATTAATATACAATCTAATTTAATAAATACAGTATATACAGTATATATTTTTAAAGCTTATATCATAAAATATTTTATAAAAAAGTTTTTTACTAATTATCTAATCATATATAAAAAAATATTTACAAGAAGTTTTTATTTCTTTGCTAATAAAGTCTTAATACTTTTCTGAAAACAATTTGAAGTTTGACTTCAAAAGTTGTTTTTATTTTTCTCCTATTGTTTACAATTCTCTTTATTTAAAACTTGATTTTTAGTAATCAAGAAAAGTTAAATAACATTTTTGATATCAATAATAAGAAAGTTTTCAAAGGAAGAAAAACTAATTGTGAAATATTTAATACCTTTTTTAATTTTTGAAATGAAAGGTTTATATAGGTGTTATTGTAGATAAAAGGCTTATTTTCTTTTTTTTGAATTGTTATTATCCTCTTAAAGCTTTTATTTCATGGTTTTCTGAAGAATTTTATCTATTTCAGTTTGATTCTGAATTTGGATAGTACAAATTCTTACCAAAGATAATTGGTTAATATAAAATATATTATTTTATAGAATGCAAATAAGTTCTTATTGATTATACTCATATGCTTGATAATATTATTATTAATTAGAAAAAATATTTTGAAAATGTTTGCTCCTAGAAATCCAAGTTTTTTAATAAAAATATCTATAATATCAAAAGATCAAGTGATGAATAATATAAATTGAAAACTTTTGTCTTTTACTTAAATCTCTCAAGTAGTAACAAAGCTTTAATAAAAAAAAATTAAGATTTAAATACTTTTCTTAAGATATTTTAATTTGATACTTATTTAAATAAAAGATCAATTGGATTAATTTATTTAATATTATAGATAGTAATAAAGAAGATTTTTTCTGAGGTTTAAGTAAAGCAAAAAAACAATTCTAATTAAACAAATCCCTTTTGAGAAAAGATTATTTTTATTTCTAGACTTTTTTGATAAGCCTTGAATTGTTTCCTTCTCTCAATCTTTTTTTCTTTTCTTTTAATTTAGCAATTTATTGATTTTTGGATCAATCAACAATAATTGATAGATTATGATTAATTCAATTATATTAGGAAAATGTAATATTGTTTCAAAATTTAACTTAGAGTACTTACTGTATATATGAAAATGAGTTAATTACTTTGTGAAAGTCTATAACTATTGTAGATTATGTTTTAATTTTTCAATAAAAACATGCTATCATGGCATGATTGCATATTAGCAAATATATATATATATATATTGTATATATTTTCAAAACAAATTAAAAATAAAAAATGATAATTAACAAATTAAAGAAAAAAAAAAAGGAAGATTCAAATATCGGAAATAAGAAAAAAAGAAGTTTCCTAAAATTTGAAAATGCAAGCTCAAAGTTTTCTTCCTTATGGTATATTTAAGATGGTGAACCAAAGTATAATTATTGGCTATAGATTAAAATAAATAAAAATAAATAAGCTTAATGTTTTATATTTTAAAAGATCACATAACTTTTAATTGAAACTGCCGTAGTGACTTGCAGGTGATGATATTAGTAGCTGGAAGGGTTTTCACCTGAGTTGCTAATGGAGCGACAAATCACTCCCGAAGTTGCACCGAGAGTCATGATGACTAAGATGAGTGAGTTAAAAGATTTGGCTTTAACGATCCATGTAAAAATGTACAATTTACAAAGGTTAAATAAAGCATACGTAACTAACCTGACAGAAGGTTATATACAGTATATTAAAAACAACTTAAAATCTTGAAGTTGATAACTTCGATTGGGAAATTGACATCAATACAGACTTATCGCTTCGATGCCAAATGAATGAGACCTTTGTTAAATAATATATTATTCGAACTATGATAACAGATTAAAATCGGGTTCGATGTTATAATAATCCAATGGTTTGACTTGATTGATTTGCGTTTATTTGCTGATACCCTTATTGTGAAAAACCGAGAAACGGCTGATTAAAAAGGTTTTTGCCATTTGTACATAGCTCTATGGATTAATTAAATTCCACAAATTCATATTACTTATTAGGATAGTTATAAGCTTTTGCATAAGCAAAAATGTACATTACAAATTATTATTTTTTTTTTCCTTTTTTTTTAACAAATTTAAAATGTATAAACCAATATAATCTTATTCTGGAAATCATAAGGCAAAAAAAAAAAAAGGAAAAAAGGAAAAAAAAAAATTATAATAGGAATAAATTAATAATACACTTGAATCAATTGAACCACCTGGGTATGTAGGAGAAACAAAAGAGAAACAAATGAAAATGTGGAGTGGAGGTGACGTCGTGATGATCATTATTTCGATTGAATAACAGGAAAGAGATCCAACAAAAATCATCGTTTCCCGACAAGTCTAAGTAAGGTATTATGATGATATTCTATCTATTAAAAAAAAGGGAGAGTATGTATAAATATGGGAACGAGGGGATGAGATTAAGTAACTTTAATTAGCATGATTAAACACAATAACAGAAAAAGCCCGCACTTATTAAGAAACAATAATATATATGTATATATATATATATACCGCATTATCAACCTTGCAATTCACATCAATTAATCAACCACCAGTTATCGACTCATGTGATATTGATCCAATGTACTTTGGAAAGGGTTTGCACCATAACCATCCCGTAGTACAACTTCACCTTCTTCATCCCATCCGGATGCCCTAGATTTTTGATAACGATATAGCACTATCGATATGCCTCCCAATATAACTATTCCACCAACGACGGCAGCAGCAATCACGATAGTCTTTGTTGTTGATGCGGTGACGTCAATCTGAGGTTGATTGGCGTTAATACTAGAGGAATTGGAGTTAGATTGGGGTATTCCTGTCTCTCCGGGAGAAATTGTTGACGTGCTTGTTATGGTGATAGGTGCGGGGGTGGTCGCACCACCATTATCAGAAGATTGTATGGGCGTCGGGGAGGTGTCAACATTGCTCGTAGCTGCTGAGCCCGTGATAACTATCTGAGTGTTGGAGTTCGAGGTAGCGGCGGTTGGTTGCGGTTGGTTAGAAGTTTGTTGAGAGCTCGTAGGTTGTTGAGTTGGATTCGGCTGTGAGGTATCAGTGGGGGGTTTGGGTACTACCGAACTTTTCGGTGGATTAACAGCAGGTGTATTGCTAGTCCCACCCGATGCCGAAGGAACTGCAAGTGCACACAACTTTTCATTTTGTGGGGTGACGAGCAATAAGGTAGCAAGAAATATGACAAGTGTCGACAACTTCATGATTGTGATTGTGTTTGTTAAATTAAAATTTGGTAAAGTTACAAAAATCTACTAGGGAAGGTAAGAGGAAATAGTGGAAGGTTATAAAATTGTTTCTTTAGTTTCAAAAAAAAAAAAAAAGGAGTGGACAAAGTCTGAAACTGTTCTGAATGATCAATTATAGTCCTGCTTTGTATTACATTTATTTTCGATTCGCATGGTAGCAGTTATCACGTGTTGCATTGACGATCATCCGAAATAGGGTTGAGAAAGATGTTGAAAATGGCATGCGCTCGAGTGATTTTTCATATATTTTTAACAATTTCCGTACACCCATTTACTACTTGACGGCGATAGTACGCACGTAATACAGGCATATTTGGGACTTCGTCATCTAATTCAATTTAACAAGATAATTACACACATCATATACAATATGCTATTTATGGAAATGCCATGATGATTGATTTTTGGGCGTCGGGATTTCTTTACAATACAGTTCTTATAAATAACGCATCTGCACCGTGTGGAAATCTTATACACTCGGGTGAATTTTGTACCCTTACCTATCAAAAAAAAAAAAAAAAAAAAGAATTTTCTAATTTTCTTGGATCAAATAATCAGATATGAATGTCATCCCAATTCTTTCACGCCCAGCTCCACCTTGCAAGGTTGGTGGTCTCAGCCACCGTCAGGACGGTAGCCAGGAAGTTGGTAACAATAATAGTGGTGATGTTCAGGCATCGCAACAATCCTCCTCCTCCACCACGTCTACCACCATCATCACCAAATCATCCACGAAAACAAATACAATTACGAGACCACCCAGAGTAAAGTATAGGTATCACAAAGTTCCAATTCAAGTTGACGGCTCACCCTCTCAATTTTATGATTTTCCGTTGGGCTCTTACCCCGATCTTCAACGACAGCATTCACGATCTATTTGTCCCTCACCTTTCACTTATATCAATAATAATAATAATAATAATAATACAAATATAAAATTGCCTTTAGAACATCACAATAATAGTAATTATAATAATAATAACATTGCGGCAAAAAAAATCTATCTCAAGAAGAGTTCTTTAATAAGAAAATTTCAGAGAAGTCAAATTTCTCCAAAGATTGTTGTTCATCGATAAACCAAGTCTGTATATAAAAAAGTGTCATCGTGATCATTTCTCTGTAATGGGTCATTAATATGATTAATTGCACGTGCTTCAACAATTGTATAAATGACGCATGAATAACACATTAAACTATAACGAGAAAATGGGAGTTCAATTCTTTAGGGTGAGCGCACACGCACAGTAGCTTAAAAAAAAAATTTTTTTGGTATTTTTTTTTTTTCAGAAAACGCTATAAACGCCTAAAACACCTAAAACAATCGTCATCCCAAAACCCCCCCCCCCTTAAAAACGCATCACATCACAACACCCTCCCCCGTGAAAAAAACCCCCGCTGATTATAAATAATAAAGGGAGGACTACTCCCTTCCAAAAATTGCTCCCCGACCCCCCGAAGGAGGTCGTGGAGACGAGGTATTGGTATAGTTTGCAATTAGCAATAATCTGGCCTCGGATAAATCCTCACTGGCGCAAATAATGCCCGTGCACAAAGATAAGGAAACTAGGTCGGTCAGGGGATGAGGTCTATTTATATTTTTCTGAATAATCAAGTCAAATGTGGGATTGATTTGTGGTTTGATAACGTGTAACCGTAACACCAGGATCATGTGATTAATGTCATGACGAGAAACGTGTCGATTAATTCGGTTTCAGAAAAATGTAGAAATTTAGCCCGGCGGGTATCAGATAGATTCCCTTACGTAGTTTAGAAATCTGGCCACCACAGATGCTTCAGAGATAATATCTCATACTCCTCCCATGACGAATCGCCGACCCACTCTCTGGCCTCCAACCAAATCCAAACTTTCATCCACCACATTCCACCGCTTTCGATATCCTTGATTCCCTCTCGAAATCCCTTTCCCCCTTCTTGTGCCCCCAACTTTCTCAGTATTGGTAGCGCGCTTCTCAACAAATCCATTTGCGGATCTAATTGTCTACCGATACCCTCCAATAATAGAATTGATATTATCACATTGATGAAGTCACCTTCTAATTTCACATGATGAGTTCTAACCATTTTCAACACATTGGCCAATATGTCGGATATTTGAATTTTTCCAAGCTGCAACGTCAGTGCTTTCACGTTCAACACCAAATGTTGCATTTTCAGCGCAAACAGTTCTCCGTCGATCACCAGGTGCGGCGTTTTACACCTGTCGATCATCAATCTTCCCGCCTTGTATCCATCAAATCGCGTGATCGCTCTAAATAGGTCTAGAAAATTTTTTCGATTCTCAATATTTAAACTTGTCACCAACCCCGTATCGATGAATATCAACTGCGGTTGATACCCTTCATTACACAATTTCACCAACTCTTCGTTCCACAACTTTTTATCACGACTATGCCTTATTAGGCGAGAGTGGGCTATCCTCGAGTCATCACTTCCTGCCCCATCCTTTTCGTCCAAAACCTGTGACTCCGTTTTGGTGAAATCATTCAGGAATCGTTGTACATACGATAACAACGTGGGTCTTCTAAATTTGACCAGGATGTTCCCGGGGTGCAAGTCAGCGTGAACAAAATTATCAAATATCACCATATGCTAACGTTAGGATCCGTGTATACATGCACGTGGATCGAATTAATCAATGTTTGTTCGGAAAATATCAAGAAAAATTATTGCTTAAAATCACCGATAGCTTACAAGGAACGAGTCAAGTCCTGAGTGATACGTGTGAGAGGTGTGCGCGTCATTAGTATATTATTATCTGTGAAGATTGGCGTCAGGAAAGCACAGATAATGTGAAAAAACTACCCATTTCTGCGATCGCATGGTCGTAAATCCCTCTTTCTTTCGCAAGAAATAATTTGAGCGGCAATCCTTCCACGAATTCCTCGATCAGTACATTCTTTGTTGTATACTCCGTAACTGGTATCGGAAATTCCACTGCCCTGCGATTTTTAAAGTTCTTCCGAAACACCAATAAATTACAGGCCTCCTTGCGAAGGTCCAACTGTTCTTGCATCATTTCCGAAAATTTTGAAACTTCCTCGGGCAAGGACAACCATTGCATTGTCGGCACAGCATTCAGTATTTTGGAAAACATCATCAATATTTTGAGATCTCTTTGAATAATCTTTTCCGCCGTCGGATGCAGTACCTTGACCGCTACCACCGGCATGTCCTTGGAAACGGAATCTTGATGAGGTGTTGCTGAAAGTATCTCGGGTCGCATCGTTGCCTTGTACACCTTGAGGCCGGTGTTCAAAAATGACGATAGATTAACTGACCCCTCGTCACCGTCAAAGGTCAAATGAACTTTATCGACACGCAATTTACCTGTGCGATCGCCCCGATCCCAATCGGCTTTTTATCTATTTCAGAAAATATTTCATGGAATGGTTTTCCAAACTCCTCCTCTATGATCCTCTTTGTATCCTCGAACGAATGTGGATTCACTTGCGAATGAAGTTTCGACAAGCGATTGCACATCTCATGAGGAAATATGTCAGTTCTAGAAGCCGCCCATTGTGCAAGCTATTAATGACGAGAGAAAATCAAAATAATATGATAATAAATAATGATGATGATACCAATCATTTTGTGTCATTAATCGTACCTTGATAAAGGTAGGTCCAGAAGTTTCCATCTGTCTTACCAGCATATTATACCACCACAATGCACCCATTCGTTCGTTATCACTTTCCGCAACTCTAGGTCCGATGAAGAGCGCGGGTGCTCCGATTATCAAGGGTAGAAAGGTGATCAATAAATACGTGAACCTACACACAGTGAGAATAGGCTCGATAATATACTCCGAGAGAATATTGACAACACTATCAAACAAACTCTTAGGAAGATGCGATTGTATGCCATTCTGGGGCATCGTTTTTGCGAATTGAACGGGCTTCACTTTCTCATTTCCCAGCGAAACAACGAAGAACATATGTCGAGCATGTGAAAAAGCCAGAAACATTATCGGCCTTTTGTAAAAGCTATTGCATTTCCGTGTCGACAATGTTTCTCCCGTCTTCTCCCGAGTTGCGTGTAAATTTCGTCCCATAAATCCCGCATTTCTGAAAAAAGTGGACCTTTTTAAATCGGGAGCGACTACTCTAGTACTTGAACGGAAGTTCCGCGTGATAAATAAAGCCCTCCTTTGGAACGCGCTTCTCGACGATCCACCAACAGAGATCGAAAAAATTGCTCTCGAAATCATTGGAAAAAAAAAACTGGTTTTTGTAAAAAGATGATCACTGGAGATTTTTAACCTATTTCAATATTTTTTTCGCCATTTCGCTAGTTGTTTGTTATTTACGTCGCGTTTACAAATTTTCAAATCCAATAAATCCAATTTAATACATCCATCAAGACATATTTTATCCTAATCTCCAGGAAAGAATTTGGTTTTGCTTTTCTTTCTTGTAAAAAAATTTTTTTGCAATAACCCATTAAGCCAGGTTGGTGGTTTTCGAATATTTTAGAATCTGTTAAATTAAATCTGTCAACAACCTTAAGTTTCCTAATAACTTATATCATTGACATTGAACAAAATGAAAAAAGTTTTTTTAACTCACCTTTCTCATGACTTTTATATATTAACTCACCTATCTTAAAATTTACAGTATCTTTTCTAGATACAATTTAAAGAATAATATTTTATTTCTTGATAATTGAACTATCCCTTAACTATCAAATTTTTCATCTATAGTTTAATTTTTTAAATCAATCAATTTGAAACTAAATTCAAATTAATACAAATATACTGTATATAAAAAAATAATTTAATATATTTAATTTTAATATATTGTGTCTTTATTGAAAAATTGAAAATGAATTTACAATATTTTATAGACTTTCACAAAGTAACTAACTCGTCTTCATACAAAAGTACTCTAAGTCAGATTTTGGG